TGCTAAACCCAGGCTTGTGAGCTCAATCCTTGCAGAGGGGATTTGGGGCAAAATTTTGTCAGGGATGGTACTTGGCCCTGCTGTGAAGGCAGGGGACTGGACTCAATGACCTTTCAAGGTCCCTTCCAGTTCTAGGAGATAGGCAATCTCCATTCATTAAAAGGATCAATGCTGAGGACACCTGCTCCTGGAATGATGTGATCACAGCAGAATTGCAATTTTCATTTAAAAAAAGGCAAGTTCTAAACCCCCATCATGGTGAAAAGTTTAAAAATATGACCCGAGTGTAATTAATATAGAGATGCTGGCCTGAGCCTGAAACAATCACTCTGAGATGGGTGAACAGGACATGAACTCTTACAAGCCACTCGGAAGAGTCCCACGAACACTCAGGACTACATATGGAGGCTAGGAGTGTGGCAGGCTTAGCCCACCTACCCATCCAAGCAATGACTGGGGTAATTCCTGGGGTGCCGTTCTCCTGCCAACCCTGCCCTGCCTCTCTGTGGGACAGACGGAGGCCCTACTGTGAGCAGCAGGGGGTAAAAGTCAGCAGTGATTTGCCAGGGTTAGCCCCATGCCAGCTGCCACCACTACATTCACCTGCCCTTCTGCAGGTACGGTGCTTGCAGCTCCTTTTGGCCACGGATCACTGTTCGCAGCCAATGGGAGCTGTGAGAAGCAATACAGACTGGGAAAACCTGTATCTGTACCTCTGACTGGTTGGGAACGGTGATCTGTGGCCAATAGGAGCTACAAGCACCCCTGTCCATGGAGGTGCAGGTAAATACAGCAGCCACCAGGGGCTAACGCTGGTAAACCAAATACTGCAGGCCAGTATTTGCCCTCTACTGCTGCTCTGGTGCGCCCAAGTAGGGGGACTGCATTGTCCCATATGAGGGGAGACAGGGAATCTCTGCCACTTGTATGCATGCATGTGTGTGTGTGGAGCTGGAAATGGGTTCAGAGAGGGCTATCGGTGTTGAAGACATGGTGACCTGTGTTATGATATGCCTAGGATCCCAGATTATATGAATCCTGCCCTCACCCCCGCAAAAAAGCATTCAGATTTGTTTCTTTTTTCCCAGTTGTTCATTAAATCGTGCTTGAAAATCAGGAGTATTATTGTCAAATACCGGAAATCCTCGCTCACTTTTGGCTGAACCAGCTGTGTCATTCAGAAATGCTCAACCTCTCCTGCTTTCACATTTTATTTTACTTTCACTACATTTCATTGCGTTTTCCTCATAAACAGATCCATTTGTGAAACCTTCAGAGGCAGCAGAATCTAGTGGGCAAAGAACGGGACTGGGAACCTGGGACTGCTGGCTTCCTTTGACACTTACTCAGTATGTGGCCTAGAGCAAGTGACTTAACTGTTCTGTTTCCATTTTCCCCTACAGTAAAACGTGGATAATTATTGACCCACTTCACATAAGGGCAAGGGCAAGAGAACGTACTGGGTGCAATCAAAGCCCCTTCCTGGGGCTCTACAAATAACTCAATGGTAAAGAGATAAATGGGCAGAGGGAGATAGGGCTGGTGATGTTTTTGGAAACCTTTGGAAATGGTTTTCTCCACATTTTAAAATATGCGAGCAGCCACATGCCACCTGAACACTTCTCTCCATGAACATGCATGGTTCTTTTGGGTGATTGATAACAATATCATTTGAGTTTTAGTCCATACAATATAGATACAGAGAAACTCCTTGCTAGAGGGCTTTTTTTTAAGAAATGTGCACTCAATTTTTATTTCAATATTTGCCTGTTAAAGCAATGTATGCTTATAATGTTACTGCTTAATTTCGCCACTGAACTGAAAATCTGCTGACCATATGCAGCACCAGTATACAGTCAGACTGCTTACAACAAATAAGAACTATTAAATAGTAGCATAAATATATAATTAGCAAGAACGTTAGGGTTTAAAATATCATCCTACCCATTTTCCCACTGTCACATATAGATCATGTTTATAAATAATACCTCCACAAAATTTGTCATGTAATTTATCCTGATACAGCATCTTGTAGGTGTAACTGCAAACCTGCAACATGCACTTAACTTCTTTTAAATATCTACAATATTTTCAAAATGGAAATGCCTTGTTTTCACTAAACTTCTAAATATTTCAATTTGAACTTTAATATATGTGTATCTAATAGAGTGCGTCTACACAGCACCCTTAGCTCGAAACAAACTATGCAATTTGCGCTATGCAAATTCGGTAGTTTATTTCAAGTGTATTTCTAAACTGCTTATTTTGTAATTTGGCGCTAAATTTCAAAAAAACTCGCTATTCTGAAATGCCCCTTAACCCTCGTGGAATGAGGGTTACCGGGACATCGAAAGAAGCCACCCATTATTTCTAAAACTATTTCGAAATAATGGGCTGCTTCAATAAACACGGAATAGCTATTTCGGGATATTTCCAGTATCCCAAAATAGCTCTGCAGTGTAGATGTACCTATAGTGACAGCAGGTTGCAGTGATGTTTTTTAAAGGTTTACAGCCAGCAGCAGCATTTTAAAGTACTATTTTATTATGTTGCTAAAGAACTGCATACCCTTCTTGAGCCCTGTGTGATTTTACGTTTCTATGGGTATGAGTATTTTTACCTGCTCTTTCTCTCTCTCTTACACACATACACTGCTTTTCAATATTATTTAAAAAAGTTGCTTCCAGTATATAGTAAACTTGATGTAGTGGTCTCAAAAAGTCATCTTTTCCTTTTAGTGAAGAGTTTAGCATTCTTGTCATTAAAATTTAAGATCATGACCCTGTCGTATCTAATTCAGGGGTTCTTTACTGACAGTTTCTCTAACAGTCATTTCATTCTACCTCATTGGCATGTAATGATCATAGTTTCTTGGTATACTGCATAAAGTTCTATTTTTAAATGTATATATCTGATTTAGGACTTCGCTAATTGTTGTTTCAGCTTCACTCCTGTGCTTATTCAAATCCTTTCCCCACACTACATAAAAGTATATTTCATATATTTTGGTTCAATCTAAATAAAATACCAATCTATCTGTTCCTCTAATCTCACGTATGCAGTGTGTTTATTCTAATCTATTGATTCCTATCTAACTTAATCTAATCTATCTGTTCACCCTTGTCTATCTAGCCTAACTAATCTATCTAATCTCTTTAATCTTGCCTATTTTCTACAGACTAATCCAAGCAATAAAGCACCCCCCTCCAAACATGCAAACAGTGTCCACACCAGAGCAGTCCCCTTGATTTTAATGGGACTAACTAAAAGTCAATCACTATAAGCACATGCATAAATACTTTCAGAATTGGAATTAATTCCTTCTCTTACCATAATCAGAATCTTTAAAACAGGCATCTAAATGGTCCTGGTCATCATAGTCTTCAATGTCAATGCTGTTTTTTGTGCTCTTCTTCGGTAAGTGCTTGCCTGCATTTTTGCTGTTACTGCTCCCAGTTTTTTTCGAGTTTTGAGCTGAGATAGAGTTATTTTTAGCTTGGTTGGTACTCCATGAAGTCTGCAGGCAGGAGTCTGAAGATTGGAGATTTGCCATTGATAACATTCCTTGGATTGCTTCCTGTGTGCTGGGAGATGCAGGTGGCTGACTAAGGGAAAACATTAACAAAATAAAGAGCTTTACGCTAATTACCAAATCAACAACATGCAATAAACAGCATTAAGTGTAAATATAGCTCAGTCTGAGTTCTGGATTAATGGCCTCACCACTGTGTAGGTGCGTAATATGTGAAATTAATTTATACCAAGTAGAGATCCAGCTGAACGTTAGAAGGACAAAGATTTGAAATAAAATCAGAAATCTTCCAAAATTTAGTTCTGTGAATACCTTTTCAGAAGTGGTAATTTGATCAAGTAAAGAGAGTAACCCAACTGACTTTTCCCACAACAAAAAGGGAAACACTGAGCAGTTAATAGAAATACATGGGAGACTTTCTACAAAATCTTTCTTGGCTAGATCCTCAGCGGGTGAAAATCAGAGCAGGGCTACTGAAGTCAAGTGCCTTGTGGCAGTGTTACTATCTGAGGATATGGCACTCTGTTCTTATTCTGAACACACTCAGTAAAGTCTTCCACTGTGACCAAACAGCCATCTCTGTGATCACAGAGTATTTGTGGAGTTTTTCCTGTTTGCCAAATTCATCACAAGTAAACTAATGGCATGTATTTTGCTTCCTCTTCTATAACTGGAGCAGACTAAAAGGACAAAAAAAAACCAGGGTAAAATAATCAAAAGCAGCCTCAGTGATTTGGGAGCCCAAGTCAAGGAGTTTATGACTCGTGCAAAGTCAATGGGCTCCTAAGTCACTGAGGAGCTTTTGAAAATGTCACCCTTAATCTCTCACGCGAGATAACAAAAAGGGTTTGCCCATCACTGCTGGGAAACCATCATTTCCATTCACTGTCACACCACCAAAGAAAGGAAACTTAAGCATCTGACTCTATCCAATGAAAGAAATTAATTATAATAACATTCTACACTGTCAGGCTTGGATCATATGTTCAGAGCTGATATTTTGCACTGGAACATAGCATATGGCTTCTCATTTGTGATGTGTATTGATTTAAACATTCTGGTTCTTTTGGGGGAGTAAACTGTGTAATTAGTGGTGTTTGAAATTGCTTTTTTTATTAGTTAAAATATTGGTCTAGTCTAAAAGCCCCACACTCCTGGAGATGAGTTGTTAGGCTTTGAGCTAGCAAGACAGTTAAGCATATGAGAAGTCTTGCTGACGTTACCCTTTAGCGTTAATCATGCCCTTAACTGTTATTATTCTGGAATATGACCTTAGGGAGCATGGGAAGTCATTCAGGTCTGCTGACCAGCTACACACATGAATTCCATCACTGCAGAACTTGTAAACTTCAAGTTTGGTTTGATAGAAATCTATTCTCCAGTACCAGCATTGGCTTGGGTTTTCAAATAACAACTTAGTATTTTTAAAAAGTGCTCCTCCTTGGCCACCATCCTTCAGGGTGCTCAGGACACTGTTCAAACTACACCTTGCAATGATATTGTTAGATACGGATCACGACAAAATACATCCTCTTACAATTACACAGGTAGAATGTAAGAGCTTTTCATAGATTTCTGCCATAACCCATACATTTAATCACATTTATTAAAAGATCAGTGCTGATCCTTTTTCTGCAGTTCACAGTGTTGACAAATCCAGGACAGGCTGGGATGCCCTAATGGACCTTTTCAAGCTCCACTTTCTGTTATTCCCAATATGCCAAAACTGGATTTCAGAACTGCTGCTTTCCACAGACTGCAGTGTACTTCTTACTTCCTCCGATCCCAACATACGGTCCTGGAACTGAAGTCAAGATCTACTGAAAAGGAAGAAGGAAGGTGTTCCATACTCAAGTACCCACTGAACAGAATGCTATGCCAGGAGGCCTTTTCAATTGGTAGGCTGTGGACAAAGAAGTCTAGTGGTAAGAAACAACCCTTTTTGTTGATGTCAGAGAACAGAGGATACACTGGGGCAGTGAGAGAGATCTGTTCATGATACGATATCCATCCATCTGCCAAAAATAGCCCCACTGAACAAGGCCCAATCTTGGAAAGTGCAGAGTAGCTCCAGAAAAATGCTGAATCCCACTCACTTCAATGGAAGTACTGCCTAGAAAGTACTGTGCACTGCGGAAGATTGGGCACAGAGTTCTTGAAGAGATGTAAGGATGCTACCGAACACATACAGCAATTATAACCCTGGTCTTTGTTTTTAAAAGCTAGGAACCGATTCCCCTATATTGACTCTCTTATACAAGAATCATTAGAGTAACTTCCTACATATTTTATACTTTCCCCCTTACAGCAAGCGATTTTCAAAAAGTGTTTTGACTTGCCCACTCCCAGTATTATTGAAAAGCTCATCTGGCATCTAACGCAGTTAGAGCTGCTTGAAAGAGAGATGAAGTGAGAACACAATGGGATTTAAGTACTTCCAGACAGAGGGTAAAATGAAATATTTCAGTTAGGAGACAAAATTAATGGAATATTAACTTTGGGTGCTCAGACAACTAAGAAGCAAATTCCCTTGTCCTTTGCCTCTGTTGGTCTGAAATCATTTTCACAACACATCGCAAGTAAATTGCAGTCACACAAGGATCTATTCTCTATCCACAGAGAATCCCTCATGAGCATCAAAGGGAGTTAGTTATACCCCGATATTTAGAGAGGATTAGATATCTCCTTCCCCATGGAGAGAAGCTATAGGACGCACCTCTATAAACCAGAACTCTCTGGTCCAGCAACATCCATGGTCCAGAAGCACCACGGATGTTCCAGGATATCAGAAGAGTCCCGGTGTACTGCGGGTGGGAGGGCAGGGGATGCGAGCTACGAAACCGGGCACACAGCTCAACTGGGTTGTGGGGTGGGGGAGAGCGGGAGCTGGCACACAACCTCCCCTGGTCTGCCAAAATCCCTCATCTGGGACCAGTCAGGTCCCAAGGGTGCAGGAGCAGGTAGGTCTAACCTGCACTTAAAGATGTAAAGTCTATCCCAACTTCTCCTTTATGGCATACATTGGAGAAATTTTATAGCAAGGTCAAAAGAAGCCCAAGTTTTAGTGCTACTGTATGAAACCCCTTTTACATCTTTTTACTCTCTTCCTTGTGATCCAGTCAGAAGAACAGGATAGGGAAACAGAATAAACTGCTAGACCTCGTGTCTTATCCAAACAGAAACAAAGAATAGGATAATCTTACAGGCAGAAGAAAGATTCAGGAAAGCTGGAATATGATTCGAGGTCTGCATTACTACTGGTGTCTGATAGAAAGAATACCCAGGAACAGTTACGCACCAGTGTGTATGGGCTAATGAATATAGCCTGCAAAAGAATTTTAGAAAATTCCTTGACAAATATTCATAGCTGTCAAAAACACAATCAGGCTCAGAGTGATGTTAAACAAGATGATTAGCATTTCACCAGAAAAAAATTGGTTTTTGTAAAAGTCTTTTTCCTATAGTGGTAGGTTGATGTCAAAGAGTAGATAAAAATTCTAGAAAAGTGGTAAGCAAAAAAAGAAGCGTACAGAACACATACATTTAATGAGGGAAGAAAAACAAGTCCCCTAGAATACAGAAGAAAATTACTCTCTTCAAACAGTAGAGAAGAAAAAAAAACAATATCTGAAAAGGCAGATACTGTGATCTCAAGTACTTACTACGGTACTATTGTTGAGCACTCAGGCAAACAATAAAGTGCAAAAACCACTGACAAAATGAAATTGTGTGGTTTCTTTTAAACCACTGATATCAAACATTTCCTAGGCAAATTAGCAACAACATGTCACATTCTCTTATGCAGTGCTCACTTAATCCCCTTTATAGTTTCTTAGGATTCCAGATATAGTAACATAGAATACATTCAGCAAGTTTCTTGAAACTAGTCACAATCATAAATAATCCAAAAAAGGAGTTGTCAGCTTTAGCAGCTAGTGAATCATTGAAAAAGAACATCAAGGTATTTATTTAGTGAAATATTCTTTAATCTTCCCATTATCATGTCAAACGCCTTAGTTTTCTGTTAATTGCATTCATATTGTTCAGCCTTTACAAAAAAATTAACATATTTTCTTCACGTTTCATTCAGCTGTTTATCTTAAACGCTGACCTCTCAAAACAGTGGAAACAGACCATCAAAAACTGTTCACCAAATGGGAGAATTAGAGAGGAATTGCCTAAAGCAACACAAGCTTTAACAAATAAATTATGGACTCTGATCAAAAACAGCGGTTCTGAAAGTCAAACCACAAACTCAACATGTGTGTAAAAAACCTCTTAAAGAGACAGACAGTTAAAAATAAGGCAAAGTGTTTCTCATTACCCCATGTCCTTGCAGATTTGCATTAAGTCATTTTTGTTCTGCTTTCTAAGCCAGACAAAATGTAGAACAAGAAACAGGAAGCAATTATTAACCTTTGGAAAGCTCCTTTCTATAACTTGAGAGATTATTATTTTTAAAAAATACCACTTTTAAAAGTAAGCTCTCTGTTAGTTGAAAATCATGAAGACTCCCACCTTGGAAATGATAGGAAAAAGGGAACAGAGTACCTCGCAGACAACTGTCCTGGCCCCCCACACTGGATGGAGCAAGTAAAATATACTGCTATTTTCAGAACTAGTTCCTGCTTTGTCACTGAGCACATTCCATTCACTTTTTGTTTTGCTTGTATTAAAGGAGAGGACTTGGGGAGGGATAGAGAAAAGGATATTTTTGTGCAATTTACTGGATAAATTAATGCCTTTTGCAGGTGATTTTGCGTTTTTGTAAACTCCTCTGCCGTTCTTTTTTCTTTCCCCCTTTAAAAGATACTTTACTAGTGCTTGGAAAGTTGTCACCCTTGAGAGCAGAGGGGGATTAGCTTACTTCAATAATTGTTCATTGTGTAGTAAGCATCTGGTGATTTTCAGCTGCTTACATCTCAGCAACCGAAAGAGGTACTGCACTGAAAACTGTCAGCTCACACAGAATCTTGATCTGTAAAACATAGTAAAATTTAGTAAAACTTGGTTCAGCCATTGCCCACTCCATATGCAAAGGAGACGTTCAAACTGACAAAAGGGTATCAATACAGTTGATGTAACATCACAGCTCATTAACACGATAAATATGGGGGGGAATTCTCACACCAAAGAGGTGATTTTAAGTTCCAAAGTTAGCCCAACCTACTATAGGCACAGCTGTGGCCCAGGGTCTGAGCCAACTCTTAGTGGATCAAGACCAGTTTGTCTGAGTAATGGCTTGTGGAGTGCCCAAGAACTTTAGCGGCTTTGTGAGGAAGAAAAACCAAATCACAGAAAGATGGGAATTATTAATACATAGAAGGAAAACCAGACAGTACCACATTTGTACTGTGCAGCACTGTAGTACATGTATGTATTTGTGATTTTTTCCTATTATAAAACGTCATGTTTATATATATATTTAATCAAAAACAGAGTGATTGAGAAATGAAATATAGCAATTTAATTTATCAAGAGCTTTTTTTCAATCAAGCCTCTACCCACACTACTAAAACTCAATTGTTTATATAAAAGTCAAAAGTGATATGACACACTCCCCCAAGCTACATCATGCAGTATAGTAATTGATGCAAAATTTAGTTATTACTGTACTTTAGGCTTTGATGTCACAAGCCATGAAGGCTATGAATGCACTGGACACTGTGCTTAGGATCGGGGAGGAAAAATGAGAGTGCTAACTAAGCAACGGAATAGCATCAATGTTCAGAGTCTGTGAGGTTTATTGTACCTTTCACAAACATTCCTGTTTAATACACTGCAAACAAGCAGCCTGCTTCAATATCTGTCAGGTACCTAATGTAAGAAAAATGGCTGAACCAAATTTTAATAATTCTTATAATGTTTTAGAGACTCCCTTCAATTCTCATATCCGACAGCAAACACAGTTGTAAGCAAGCTTTGTAACATGAGGCCCACATCTCAGTGGGATGTATCTCAAAATTATTAAAAACTTAAGTGTAAATATGAAAATAAACTACGTCAAAGTGTGAGGTAAAATGCAATTAACGAAAGTTGTTCTCTAATCCAATGATGAGTTCTGATGTAGCATTTAGATACGAGAAGCCTTTGATGGGATGAGGAAGAAGAAAAGAAACTACAGGTTAAAAAGTGTATATTGATTACTAATTAGAACTGGATCCAAACTAAACTCTGGGAAAGTGCAGACCTAGAATCACAACCAAACTTTGTGACTCAGGTCCATCTCTTATAACATGACTTTAAAAAGGTTGTTACTCAGCTCTACAAAACCGGTCATTAGCAGATGGTAAGCAGTAATTGCCTCCACCTAGGCAAAAGTAGCAAGTGGCTGACTAGGTCTGTTCTCCAGGAGACACCAACCTTCTCAAATCTAGGCTCCCTTTCTCTCCCCCTTAGCACCCTCACTGAAAAAACAGAACTTGTTGACACCCTGGCATTTTTACAGCTGTGTAGCCCCGCTCTGCGCCCGTCTACAGAAATAGTCCCACCACTACCAGCACTCCTAGAGCTGCATTGATGTTAGAATGTTACGATATAAGAGGTGAAAGTAAGCGGGTGCACCCTGGTGCACAGCTCCAACAAGAGCAGGCTGAAATGCAGCAAAAGCCAGCAGGGAGCTATTTAAAGAGCTGGCAGGGACCCAGGTTGCAATAGGACAGTACCTGTAAGAAATGTTAAGTTTACTTTCACAACTGGATATGATTCTGCAAATTTAGTTTGGGTCAGTCAAGTGACAAGGTTTTCCCAAAGATGTCTCAGAGTTCCAATAATACAGTCACCCCAGCAAAGATAACGTCCAAAGAGAAGTGGGTTTTGCCCATGAAAGCTCATGATACCATCTACATATTTTGTTAGTCTATAAAGTGCTACCAGACCATTTGTTGTTTTTTAAGTTTTTCCTGTTACAGATTAACTCGGTTACCCCTGTGAAGCATCCAAAGGGCTGTTCAGTAACATAGAGTTCATATCCTATATCACCCAAGGCTGCCTGAATGGCAGAGTGAGCATCACATAATGAGCCTCTGATGGGTAAAAACTTTGCTAGCTCCTCAAGTCTCCCTCCTTCAGGTTCATCTGCCCCTCTACCACCTTTCTTGGCACTGTACATTTCACTCCCGTCTCATTACAAAGCAAACTAGTTTTGTTTTTAAACTCACTGATTCTCTCTGCAGCGACAGGTTCACTTAGCAATTTATTCCACATGTTCACTTCTGAGCGTGATGCCTCTCTGCTGGAATTCTCTATATTGCTCTTAATTCCCAGTTTCTTAATGTACACTGCAGAGAGGATCTTCTTCTTCGGACCCTCCCAGAGAAAGAGCTCCATTCTACTCTACCAACTCCTGTTCAGACCTGCAAGCTGCTGTTTAGCTACTGTGTCGAAACAGTGAAACATCCAGTGGAAGGAAGGAAGAAGGAAACAATGACAGCACGGATCACTTGCACCCTTGGAGCGCCACGCTCCAGCCTGGTCCCCGGGTTGTGCTCTGCCATAGTTGTATGACTCATGGCACCTGAGACAACGTGGAATAAAAGTAGGGCTGAAAAGAGAATGGCTGCTGCAAAGAGACCATGATACAGCCGGAGGATTTCCCAATAATCCAGCCTGACAGTGGACATTTCCAACCTAGCTGTGCCAGCAGGGCCGGAGTAAGAGCTTTAGAGGCCCTAAGCACTGAAAAGATGATGGTGCTCCCCCGTATGTAATTCAAAATAAAAACATTACTATCCCGTAAAATAAAATTTTATTTTTCAAAACGACACAAAACTTACATGTATGCTGAAATGAAAATAGCTTCCTTCTAGATTTTCTGATTGCAAAATTCTGGATAAGTTCATCGAAGCTGACTCGACAAAGCATGTCCGTTTTCATGCACAATAGGGAAAGTGAGTCAAGTCTGTCCTGACACATTGTTGTTCTCTGTGGGTTTTTTATTCTTTTCAGCTGAGAAAAAGAGCGTTCTGCGGAGTTCTGATTTTTCCCATGATGACTACTTAGATCCTTTTTTTGAAATACCAAATATCGAATTTAAAAAAAAACAACTTTTTTTTTTGGTGCCCCTGCTTTGCTGGTGCCCTATGCACGTGCTTAGTCTGCCTATTGGGTGTGCCTTAGCCCTGTGTGCCAGCTCTGGGAAGATGCTTTGTGCTTACAAAAGAAGGCGCTTTGCTTACGTCACACAGAACGAATCAGCTTTGTGAATTGTGAAGAAGGTGAAACCCGTTTTGAGTAACTGCAAAAATCTTACTCTGTAAAATGGGGATAATGAGACTGTGCTCCTTTGTAAAGTACATCAAGAGCTACTGCCGCTAGGTGCTACTAACAGAATGGCCCTCTAATAGAAGTTAAGCAAAAGGTATTCAGTACAGTCTAGAATACATATGGGGGGGAGCTCTTAAGTCTGAAGGTTGCCTAACAAAGGATGGCCCCTGGACCATCTTTCGCTCTAATTACGTCATTATTTGAATAACAAATGTTAATTTTTTTTTCTTCGTAGCCAGGACATTTAAGGCCCCAGTATCTCTGCTAACTGCCACCATTACCATTAAGCATCCCTGAATCTTAACTACTTATTTTGATTCGCTTTTTTTCCTAGGGTCAGTAAATCCTGTTTGCTGAAGGAAGCCACCAGGGTAGTAGCTTCCTGGATTCTCCCATAGTAAGAACCAGATTGTGCTCTCCTTTTAAGCTGGTGTAAACTCCCACTGATTTCAGCAGGCACTGCCTGAATAAGTCATGCAGGCCTGTTCTCTAACCATCTTTACAGGGAAGCACACCACTTACCACACATGCCTCGTTTTTGTTACATTCTCCCAAAACTGTATTTTACATTTATTTACATTGTCATTATTATTTGTGTTCCTAGATGCTCCAGTGCTCCATTGTGCACAAACACACAAGAACATAAGAACGGCCGTACTGGGTCAGACCAAAGGTCCATCTAGCCCAGTATCCTGTCTGCCGACAATGGCCAATACCAGATGCCCCAAAGGGAAGAAACGACAGGTAATCCTTATGTGATCCCTCTCCTGTCACCCATTTCCAGACACATAGAGGTTAGGGATACCATTCCTACCTATCCTGGCTAATAACCATCGATGGACCTAACCTCCATGCACTTTAATGTTGGACCAAGGGACAGTTCAGATTTGCCTTGCATTGATTTGGGATCTTTAACATATTTTAATCAAGATGGGTCTGCACTAAAGTGCCAGGTCTGAAAACAGTGCTGAAGTGTGGAGAGTTTGTGATTTGGATCCCAATTTTGCAGCTCTGACTTCATTTTCCTTTCCTGTTAATAGTTTCCAGTTTTTGGCTCAGCACCGCAGTGTAAAATACCTCACTGCATTTCTCAATCTTAACCAGACCTCAAAGATTTTGGTATCCAGTTTGATATCCCACTTATATTAAGCTCCACTAAAGCTCATGCAGCATTATGGATGAGTAAGGACCGAAACTAATCCAAAATGACCCATTTTATGCTTAATGTCCTCTAGAGAAATTACGTCTTAGAGCCATTTGCTCTTCCTGAGTTTTTTTAACGGCAGCTTTCTATTCTCTTCTTCCAAAACAGGCAAAAATCAGGGAACTGTGTGGACCTTAAAAAGCACTATACAATGAATGCAAGTTGTTTGGTGCATAAATTAATGCTGTCCTCAAGCTGAATTATCTGAGCTGTCTCCTTTTGAATGAATCATCTACTTTATTGTTATTGCTTAGGTGGATTTTCAGTATTTACAGCTGGGAATGGCTCTAATTTTATAATTATACCACCAGGACCTTTTCCACCTGCTCACCTCCAGGGCATGGGATACAGAAGGAGCTAGTTTACTGGAGAAAAAAGTGATTACTAAATTGCAAAATCTGTGTTAGCTGCACGTATGAAACAGGCCATTACTTTGCTTTAAGTGAGGGATAATCAACCAGGTGTGTGCCTACCTGTTGGTGTTATACTCTAAACCCCCAACTTCCTTCCTCTCCT